GCAGCATCCTGAGGTGGCAAATGCGAGGAGAAACGCGAGGAGGGAGATGAAAAAGTGAATTAAGTTTAAACATAATATCAATCAAAATTAATATTGGACGCTAGTGGTGAAAATAAACTTGGCGAAATTGATTTCGACGTAACTAGCAATTTTATTCAATACTTGCACGACGTTTTGGTTGTGGTCCTTATCAAGTGAGAATTCCATCAATTAAAATGAGATTAACGCAACATAAAACCGATCTTATTTAAAATTAATAACGACAATCGTTGACGAAACATCATAGCGATGGGACGTGTTCCTCTTTTAACTATTAATTTTAAATAAGATTTTATGTTGCGTTAATCTCATTTTAATTGATGGAATTCTCACTTGATAAGGACCACAACCAAATGGTCGAAACGTCGTGAAAGTATTGAATAAAATTGCTAGTTACGTCGAAATCAAGTTTGCCAAGTTTAAACATAATATTCGAACTTTAAGAGAAATGCAACTATACGCACAGTTCCTTATCCCATGTATCGCGCGGGCACACGGTTATACGATAGCACACGTTGATATGAACGGAATGAGGAGTTGTATACCACATTGTTGTGCCATGATACGACGACGTACGCGAATCGCAATCCGTCCATCTACCCACCCCGGGATATAGACGCTATTCATGTGCGAAGAAATGGCATGCGGTATCAAAACGGTATCAGAACACGAAAGTAAACTTAACAACTCATAAGATTGTGACATTTCCGCGATTAAATAATAAAGAGCACAAATGTGGAGATTTTTTTTTTTTTTTTTTTTTTCATATTTTTAAAAGATTTCTTTTAATATAATATTTGGCTGTATATCTATGATATTGGTTATTCAAATATATAAAACGTTAAAAAGGTAAAAAAAATTATAAAAGCTAATTTTAATTGAAAATGCTACAATGTGCGATAATTAAGAAAAACATTTTATAAACTAAATATTTTCTTTTTGATAAATATATCTCTGAAAATTTAATCGAAATAGCAAACATGCACATACATTATTATATAACATAAAGATTTAACAATAATGATACCACAGTACAATAATTGTGTCATGGAAAGGACACAAGCAAAACATATTAATTTCGAAGAATCAAATTATCGCATTGTGAACTAAAATACTTTTATGACAATGCGTAATTTCTATAATAAGTGCATAATAAATTGTAAAATAATTATGAAGTAATATTTATACACAACAATATAGTTCAAAAGTTATAGCAATTTTAATAAAATAATAAGTTACATTTATGATATTATTTTTACTTTGATATTAATAATTTTATTTTTCCTAAATGTGCTGTTCATTAGAAAAAAAAAAGATATGTTTGTGATAAAATTACATTTTAGATATATAAACATGAATATTTCATATACGAGTACATTGTACTTTTTATAAATTACGATTCATAATGCACCATGAAAAAAATGAAATATCGTAAACACGGAGCAGCAAATATAATGTATAGTAATATTGTAAAAATATTAATTTTGAAGGTTGAATTTTGATTACTTTGGTACAGACATACAAAGTACAATTCGACGTGATGCTATATGCCAAACGAAATGCACATTTCCGCAGAGAGACAGAGAAATACTGCACAGAGATAAACGAAATGATAGAGAGAGAAAGAGAAGAGCGGGTTTTCGAGCGCTAAAATTTCTAGCCGACGAGAACGCAACATGACGTTCGACAGGCAACGCGCCGTCTCGATTAGTGACTTTATTTAAATTTAAACGCAGTAGAACGGGTGTGCGCGCATTCGCCTACGCACGGGTGATTATCGCGACATTCGCTAGTAATTGCTGGGACAACATGGCAGTTGATTGTTTTACGCTTCTATCAGCGTGTTCTATTTTATCGCCGAAGCGGGGCGGCATAATGTACGAATATATACACGCCTACGCGACGTCCCATCATCGTTCCGCTCCGGTTTCGAGGCGACCCGAATGAATAAAAAAGAAAACCAATAGGCGTGATAGAAGCCATTAAATGAAACCCGCGCGCGCGATATTTTTTCGTGCGATATAGACGCTTACATGTGAAATCACTGGCGGTATAAAATCGCCTGGGACGTATCCCATCCAATTCCGACACGACCCAATTCTGTTTCGTAAACCGGTGGCGTGCCTTGTCACGGACGTCACGAAATATGATAAATGTTTTCCAAGTAAATGAGTAAATTGCATTCGATACCAAATTTATTTTAATCCCCTTATGAAGGATTATTATTATTATTATAATTATTATTACTATTCTGTCAGAGAGAAAAGAAGAGAATCTATTAGGCTAATGTCAAAGTAAACTCGGCGCGGCGGCGTAACGCGTCGATTTGTTCACGAGAAATAATATTCATCATAGTATCATTTACGCGGTATTATTGTATGCTGCAAATAATCGTGCGATATCTCTCGCTGCTCGTCCGTCGAAAGAAAGGCTTAACGAACATGAAGAAACGCGCTTTGTGAAGCCGCTTACGGTCGGAAAGATCGACTCGGAGAGAGAGCGAGCGAGAGAGCCGGCCTCGAATACGAAGCACAAGCGCAATTATTATTACGCTCGTTACTCGTATATTCTATTCAAAGCATTCGGGCGGACGGTGACGGCGACGGCGACCGCCGGCGGGGATTATTATCTTATTGAGCTCATAAGAAGCAACCCGCGCGCGATGTCGTACGAGCGCGTCGTCTTACGACATCCTCTATCTGCTAACCGACGGAACACGGCGCGACAAGAACCGCTTAGCTCGTACAGAACCTCGTGTACGGTCTAACTTTGCTTCTACGAAGAACACCGGGAGGAAGTGAGGAAGAGAGAGGGACGTAACTCCAAGTATAACGAACGGCTTCGACGATAACATAGGACGACGACGTCGAGGCGCCACGTCTGTGCGAAGACCGTCCGACAAGACATACGAGAACGATACATCGTTCTCAAGAATCTCTCCTCGAGCGATTTTCAGTTCTATCGATCATTTCACCGGGGACGAATAAGAACGGCGCAGCGAAGGAAACGTAGATAGATGATGGAGCAGCGGCGCACGGACAGGAGCGAACAGAGAAAGAGGACAGTAGAAATCGAGTATCATCTTGTTCCCGTTATTACAAGACGGACGATCGAGCTGATACGAATATAAACGAGATAGGGAAAATTAATTAAGCGGTCAACGAAACAATCGAGAGATCCCTTCGATCTGATATATAAGCTTTTACTCTCCTTCGTTTTTGTCAAGTGATAATAAAAAGAGTAATAGTTATGTTAATGAACATGCACATTCTGCGCGAAATCAACAATCTAGTGTTTGAACTTGCCTCTTTTTACAATCTACTTTTTAGTCTTGAAACAGCGAATTAATTTATTGTCCAAATTAAATCGCAACATGGGTCAATATATTTAGTTTTGAGTAAGAATTGCAAAATATAAGATATATGCCGCGGACTTTCCACAAATCGATAATTAAGTGAAAACGTTAATTAACATTTTTATCTTTTTTGGTCGCTATCGAATGATGGACGCGGAATGAAAAAAATTTCGTTAGAAGAAAAGAAAAGGCGGCGCTCGACTCTTATACAACGAATGTTCTTAATGGCAAAGAGTTGACAGTTCGGCTGTGAACTAATTCTGAATGATTTAGCTGCGAATAAAGATGATTGACCTTCTTCATCCATTACGATACCGTTCGTTTAATAGATTCCGTAAAACGTTTCACGCGATAATTGTTAAGACGCGGTATATTTTCACGGTAACGACAAAATTGCCGCCATAAAAGAGTTTCCCTCATAATAGCGATTCCATATGTGCTGCTTTTAGCAATACATATACATATATACGTGTGTACGTGTGTTGAAAACATCCTTGCTTCCAATACTAAATTACTGCCACTTGGCAATACTTTTATCGCTCCTTTTACGATACAGACTCCCCTCTAACTTCGTTTTTGAATCCGATGGGACTATAAAGATAAATTAGATAAGACGACGAAATAAATGGGAAGAGAGAACAGCCATATACGTATATACACAAACACATATACATACATACACTCCGTCTACATATTTCTTACATAATACATTCGAGGAATAGAAACTATTTCTAGAAAATTTCAAGAAAAGAAATCGACAGCTTCTTATTTACACTTAGTCTCTAGGTTTTATTCTCTTAAATGGAACCAGTATATTATCATTAAAAAACAATGAATAACCATTTAAGATCTCAATTACAAATGTAACACTATAAATCAGTGAAATCTTACTGAAAGAATTAGTCACGAACAGTTTCGATAGATGATATTTTATATTATAATGTTATTTAGAAGATAAATGTATAGCACAAAACTTTGTTAAAAAATATTTGAGTTTTTTATTTTTTGTGGATTTATCACATATAAAGAGTGAAAAAATGTAATATGTATATAATTCTCAATTTTTAATAGCTATACGTGTTTCGTTTCAGATATGTGTGTATATATGTATGTGTAGAGGAAAGAGCGTTTCCAAAAAAAAGCAATCCAACAGAAATAAAAAAAAAGCTTTAAATCCTTCCAGCTTGTATATTCTATATTTTTATACATGTTCTAAATTTTATTAATTTTTTATTGAAATTTTATTCCCGTATATAATTATTGTAATTAAGACGTAAGATGGAGAAATACATAAATGTTTTCACTGAAGCTTAATAAATATTTATCGATCTCTGGCGAAAGCTGATACCAATGCTTTAATAATTTACTGATTCAAATTAAGAGATTAAGAAATCGCAAAAATTAAATTCAAATTTTAAATAATAAATTAATTGAAATTTTATGTTAAATTACGTATCATTACGGTGTCATGCCCTTTTAAACACGCTTCTGTGAAACGAGATCAAAAATAGTTATAAAAATTCCAATTAATTTTATATTGCACTAATTACGTTTAATTGTCGGCAAAGTTTCTAGATTTAATAAATCTTTCTCATTTATTCCGTAGGAACGCGTGCAGAAAAGTTGGACGAAGAACAGCGCCGTTAATAATTTGCCTCTCGCTGTTGATGACAATAGAAGCGAAGACAGTGGCTGCTACGAATGTGACAAACGCGTCATCGCTAGCAGTATCGACGCAAAAGCCGTTTACAACGACGGAAGTAGTTTATCAGCGATTCGCCATCGAGCCGATGGATCAAACTGCGGTGATTGGCAGTCGAGTGACGCTTCCATGCCGAGTACTTGATCAGAAGGGGCCCATTCAATGGACCAAGGACGACTTTGGTCTGGGAGCAGTTAGGAATCTCACCGGATACGAGCGATACGCCATGATCGGCAGCGACGAAGAAGGTGAGTGTAAGTGGATAAGATCATCCCGGAAATTCGATTTTCACGCTCAAATTAATCCCCCCTTCCAGTCGCGGCGATCCACAAATACGCTCGCGGACACTAGAATTATGCAAAATACAGAGTGATCTGCAATCATAGTACAGAACACTTCCTGTTACTTATTTTACGAAAGTCGTTCGAGAATCTCAAAGATTGATCTTTCGATAACTTGTTTCTCCGTTTTAGAATTCAGAAAATGATGCCGATTGCATCTGTGTACATGAACGCTTTTCGATACGCGTTCTTTCGAGCGCGAAGTTTTAACGGCCTTTAAATTTCCTAATAAAAAAGTGCATTTTGCACCACGGGAAGGATTATTTAAAAATCTTTATACACCACATCAACTATAATACGGCGCCCCTAGGCTGTTTACTCGCTCAAATTCAATTTTCGGCCGCAAGGTATTGATTTTCTACTATATCGAAAAAAATATATGCAGATGTATGTGTGTGCGTATAGGGAGGAGAGAGACTTTTCTCCAAAAATAGTCATCCAAATAAAAAAATTTTTAAAAATCTACATTTTGCAAATATATTCAATATTATTAATTTTGCAGTATTAATTAGTGAAATATGAAAAGAAGGAGCAAAGTATATAAATGTTTGAAAATTATTTTTGTTTATTTTTTTATTTCTTTCTCCCTTTTTTCTATTTTCGGTGAAATTTATCTATATCACTATTCGCTCGGTTGTCTGTGAATCTTACCTGGCACAAAAAATATTTCGTCTTGCTTAGAGGTGCTACACGTTTACGAGTATAACACTCTCATACATGAAAAGACACATAAAATCTTACCTGGTACAAAAAATATTTCGCCTTGCTTAGAGATATTACATGTTCACGAGTATAATACTCTCACATATAAGAAAAGACACTTAAGTGTATCGAATTCATAGTACCAATATCAGTAAATGAGGCATGTATATATTGTGACATAAAAATTGTAATATAAGAAAAAAAGATGATATTTCTCTAGCCACAACTTTCAAAAATATCTATTTTTTGAAAACCAGAAAAAATCAATATTTCAAATCAAATATTTTTTCATTTTAAGATTAAAATATTTAAAATATCATAACAATTATCCTTAATATTGTTATTATGAACTGTTAAATTAATTTAATAGATTAATTTAAAACAATTGAAATTATTGAGTTAACTATGGAAATTAAGATTTAACAAAATTATATATTTTTATTCATATCTGATCGCTGTTGTGACAATAAAATCTTATCTGGTACAAAAAATATTTCGCCTTGCTTAGAGGTGTTACACATTCACGAGTATAACACTCTCACATATAAGAAAAGACACTTAAGTGTATCAAATTCATATTACCAATATCAGTAAATGAAGCATGTATATATTGTGAGATAGAAATCGTAATATAAGAAAAAAAAGAAGATATTTCTCTAGCCATAACTTTCAAAAATATATCTATTTTTTGAAAACCAGAAAAAATCAATATTTTAAATCAAATATTTTTTTCTTTTTAAGATTGAAATATTTAAAATATCATAACAATTATCCTTAATAGTGCAATTATAAACTGTTAAATTAATTTAATATATTATTTTAAAACAATAGAAATTATTGAGTTAACTATGAAAATTAAGATTATAAGTTTTAACAAAATTATATATTTTTATTCATATCTGATCGCTGTTGTGACACTAAAGTTGTGATTTTAAAAAGATTTCATCACCTGCTATAGAAATGTTCATATAAACAATTTATCACTCACCGATACGTGCAATAGCGGAGTTGTAGTACACAGCATTCATTGATCTGAAAACAAAATATTCAAATTATGTATATACTATTGTATATAATTTTTATAAATATTTCATTATTTTTTCAGAAAAGATTTTAAAATCAAAGTTTCTAAAATATTTTATATACATAAAAATAATATAATGTAAATATTCAACGAAGATAAAACGAGTAATTTTATCAATATTAATCAATTAAATATGTTATAAATTGTATTTATATGCACACCTCACAGTTGCCCCGCTGTCGCCCGATGCCTCCACGTGTCTCCTCCCTCCACCCCTCTTGGTTGACCGTCATTGCTCCCTTGTAACACTCCCGACACTCGCGAAAAATACGAATAATTACGATCGCCCGAACTTTACACGGCACTCCCGACACGATTCAATGAGAAAAAATAATGCGAAAACTACAATCGCACGGAGCCGCACCCGAGAATCTCTCGCAATCAAACTCGCGCGCGGCTATCTGTAACAAATAAAATACATAACATGTTAAAGCAATTTTATTATTTCGCATAACATGCATGATATAAATATGTAAGCTAGAATTAACGATGGATGTATCCACACGGGTCACGACACATTCGCGCGCGCAAAAACAGATTAGGTTAGGTTGGGTTAGGTTGATCGTTGGCACAGATTTTCCATCGAATTTCTCGCGAAAGATGCGTTTCAAACAATTACGATCATACGTGGACATTGAAATTACGATATACGATTGATAAATATTACAATACAAAGGTTAGAAACGATTATGCTTACTAATTAATCACAACGGGACGTAGCGCGAACTGCCTGGTGCTCGAGGCGTTTTGGTAATGGCTTGAAGCTACTCTACAAACAGCGGCAACTTCATTCTAATAGCGCGCCCGATCGGCGCGATTACTATACGTACTTAATATTAAGAACTAATTAAAACTCGAAGAAGATTCGTTCGAAAAGATAGTTTTAGAATAAGTACACATTGTACAAAAATATATGTAAAATTACAATATAAATAATAAAATTTGTAAATTTTCATAATTTATAGTGGAATTTTTTATTTATTGTTTATGCAATTTTACATATTTTTATGTAACACATAACACAGTCTTTTACAATGTATAATTCTCGAAAATCGACTGGCGTCTCATCTCAATAAAACTATAGATATAGGCATTTAGTTGTTTTTTTATTAAACTTATTTATAACTTATTTAATATTTTTGTACTTTTGGGAGGCAAAACTCTTTTCAGTATTCATGTAGAACTATAAATTTTTTAAATCCTGATATAATTACTAAAAAGTTGGCACCTCAGTTTGTCCCAAGGCAATTTCATTGTTTTAATGAAACTATTTGTTTAAACTATCAAGAACTTTAAAGCTATTGAAAATAAAAGTAAAACTCTCAATTATTTACGAGTTTCCATGAAATCAGCCGCCAGCTTCACGCACATACACACTTTTAGCTTCTTTTTTGTGCGAGGCATGACCTCCTTTTCAGTTGTACTATGATTTCCGGCTCACTCTGTAGACCACTTCCGGAAGAACCACGCTTTTGTTAGCGCGCTTTAAAACAAAGATAGACCTCGCGTTATTCTTGCGTCGACTCTACGTCGCATAAAGCCGATACAGTTCGCATTAAAAGCCACTACAAAGTTAAATTAGTTTCCTAACGAGTTACTAAAAAATGCCATCCAACACTGGTATAATACTTGCTATAGTATAGGGAATATTTACACATGTAAACGTTTCTCCGTAGCCCTGCGAAATATCTTCAAGCGCGTGATTCTCTTGAGAATAACATTCTTTATTGTAGAATTTTTAATATACAAAACTTGATATAAAACTCGCGAGTTAATTTCAAAACGTAATGGCAAAGGCAACGCGAGGGAATAGAGAAATTTCGTCCAATCAGTAAATTGTGTCGGCAAATGAAAGGGTGATGTTCAAATAAAGACCTTCACGGTTCACGTCCCGGACTCAGCAGCACGAGTGCGCTGATGATGTTAACGTTACTCGCGAATAAACTCGAGAGACACAAACGCAAATAACAAAGCACAGCCGAATGAAATATTCTTACCGCGGACAGTATATCGCGATAATGACAAAGATAGACGATAAAAAAAGAGATTAATCGCGCCAGAGAAATATACGACGGCAAATTTTTCGGCACAGCGGAAGCGAATGATTTACGCGCTCGATTCCTCAATAAGTGTGAAATTTCTTTTCAAGTCTCTATAATTCATGGTGCGAAATAAAGCCAAACGTCGTATAACTTGTGTAATAAAATAAAGCGACAATTAATTACAATTAAAATATATGTTAGACATTGAGTTACGAGATCTAGGTGTGCTACGAATATTATTTTCTTTTTTGCTTCCAAATGATGAAATAAATTAGAATTAAGATATATGTTAGAAAATGAGTTAGGAGATCCAGGGGTGCTGCAAATATTATTTTCTTTTTTTTACTTCGAAATGATGATGAAATAAATATGCAAATGAACGAGGAAACGTGAGCGGACGAATAAAGAGAAAAATGTGGCGTGATTACAATAAAGCGAAGATAGGATTCAATGAAACAAGAACCTTTAAAATTGTGTTCCAATTCCGTTAATGCTATGATTGTGCATACCGCGATAAAGTGAAGCTTTTTCATTGCGATGGAGGCGGAGCAGCGAACTGGTTTATTTCATCCGTTCTTTATATGTATATGTATATGTATGTATATATATGAATATGTATATGTTATATGTTTCAACATATAGATTGTCTTTCGGTGAGCCCGCACGCGGCGCGTATCTTTCCACGCCCGCTGCATTCGTCATTTAATTCCGCAAAAATCAGCGCGCGGAAAGCGAAACGATCCGAACGTTTATTCAATCAAAATTTGTAACGTGTTTCGCGAAACGCTGTCCTGCGCTCGTGCGCATATTGGAGCGGCGATATATATATATGCGAACGTTGGCGTTTATTTTTTTATTTCTATTCGTTTTTCGGTTACGGTATTTGCTGGGCGAAGGATTAGTCGCCGGGGCTCGCGAAGATAGAACGATCCCCGCGATATCATATATCGATATTCCATTTCCTGCATTCACATTACCTTCCAAAATATTACACTGCGTTGGGCAATATTCCTAATCCGGAAAAGATATTGCATTACGTTTATTCGGCTAATAAAAGTGTCATTGTTAAACCGCCACATTCCGCGAAATATCTTCGCTATTTGCCGTAAAAGTAAATCTTCGCGCCGCGAATAGTTAAATATATTTTTTTTTCACACACGCGGTTTTATATATATTCGAGCGTAATTTAAATAATGATTTTTCCACTCGGTTAATTAAACTCGCGATTTAAATATTCCTTTCTTTCTCTCCCGCGGTTATTTAACAAAATGTATATACAAGTGGAGTGATTTTTTTTCACGGAAACTTTCTCGCACGTCTTTGACAAAGATCTTTTGTGGGATTGCAGACGGTGGCGCATTATTCAAAAGTAGGATTAGATACAGGTGGTACTATGTCCCGAAGCTGAACACTGTACGTGCGTCGTTGCGTATATACGCGGACTTCCCCAACAATCACAGTGTGTTGGAACGATAACGCTCGCGCGCGTTTGAAATCCAGTTTAAGCCGAGGAACCATAATATACTTGTAACTATATGCCGTTGCACGATGCCTTGGTCCTCGTTCATTCTTCTCCTACCGTATAAGCGAGCCCCGTCCTACGTGTGGCACGTATTCGCGGTAGCGACGCCTGATTTCCATAAAATTATTGCAGGTTTACTGCGCCATGGCTCTATGGCTTGTAACCGCAATGTTGTTGCATTTTAGTTTGCCACCTTTTCCAACCCTATGTTAATACGTGCTTTCGTAACGAGAGAAGAAACTCTGAATTGGAAAAATTATTTTTTCTCACATAAATATTTGTTTCGCAAAAAAAAGAGGTCAAATTATTTTCTAAATAGAAAAAATATTAATCAAAAATATGTACAGAAAAACAACTAATTTATGCGCCTTGAAATGAATTAATATAGAACACAATAATGAGATTTATCCTGGGAACTATAATGATATCAACTGTTATAAAAAAGAACTATTGATCGAAAAATCAATTTCGTTAACATTTTCACATCTTATTTGAGTTTAAAAGAGATCAAGAAAGCTCTCGATATTTTCAAGTTTTATCATGTATGACTGATAAACGAGGCAAATGCATCGAGGTCAAATTTACTAAATATCAGTTTTTATATCACTCATTTAACACTTTTTTTTAGAAATTGATGGATTAAATTCTAATTAATATTGAGTCAAATACATTAAATTAAAAATTTGTGCTCGCGAATAGAGAATAATTTCTAATCAAAATAATTAATATTTAAGAGAAAAGTTAATTCTAAATTTGGAAAAAGTTCACTACCCGATAAGACATATTTAGCAATAATGCAAAACATCCTGTGTATTTAATATGAAATATATATATAATATATATGTTTTGCATTATTGCTAAATATGTCTTTTATCGGGCAGTAAACTTTTTCCAAATTTAGAATTAACTTTTCTCTTAAATATTAATGATTTTGATTGGAAATTATTCTCTATTAAAAAATTTTCATTAAAAAAATGGAAAGAAGAAGATATTAAATATAGAGATAAATAATATATATTACACAAAATTTTGAAATATCAGATATTTATCAGATGAAAATTCATAAAATATTATAAAAAATCTATATATATATATATAATTTTCATCTGATAAATATCTGATATTTCAAAATTTTGTGTAATATACCTATAACCTTCAACTCTATATTTAATGTCTTCTTTTTTCCATTTTTTTAATTTCCACAGTATTGAATCCAATTTATATTAATCAATCTCAATTTTTATAGAGAGAAAAAGATTATAGAAAGAAAATCACTTGAAATAGCGCATTACAAGCTATGTAAGATAAACTCCTCTCGCGCATCTCAAAACATCAATATCCAAGCAAATACCCGATGGCAGATTTCCCGGAAACGGCAATAATCACAATGCCGCCGCATATCGATGTACAACGGGCCGGATAACGATAGATCGAAAGTCTTTAATTCGACGTCGTGTGTATGCCGCGGGGAAGAGAAGCGGCGAGCGGCTAAGTTTAAATTAGTTCCGAAACATTCGGTGCACGCTCCGATGGTTAATGGTTCTGCCATAGATCAATAAGATCCGCGAACGTGGCAGCGACGGCGGATGCGACCAGAGAGTTGCAGTTGCAGTTGCAGCGCGCCGCGCTGCGCTGTCGCGCTTCGCCGCGAGGCATCCAGCTGCGAAACGCGCCGCGCGGTCGCTTGACCGGATACCCTGTCCCGCCTTCGTTCCCCGTTCCATAGCTCTGTTACATGCTCGATATACCTGTTTCGCGCGAACCCGAGCGACTCGAAGAGAAAGGGAGAAAAAGAAACGTACACACAAAGTCATAATTTCTACCTTCGATAAAGGCA